GAGGTGAAATCCAATCATTGCTGAATCTCGAGGCCCTTGTAGTTCTCAAGTAGGAGGGTTTAGGGTTTAGGGTTTAGGGTTTGGGTTTAGGGGTTTAGAATGTACTCATGTGTCCATGACTTGAGCCCACAGTGCTTGTTCACATGAACGACGAGTGCATCTAGGAAACCAAACTGACGACTACCCTTCTCCACGACAATCCCGTGATGTCAGCAGGAACCGGAGTACCAGATGTAGACAAGGTCGCCAAGTTCCAGATCCTCCGGCTTGACTGTGTGATCCACTGTCATGGCGCGCAAAGGAAGCAACTTATCAACCATAAAGCCGGCACTCTTTCGCTGCTCCCGCAAGGGCCTCGGGTCAGCGACAGGAGGTGGCCACAGCCAGACCCTCGCTCAACCCACAACTCGTGATCAGCAGCTTCGGGAAAGCTGGGATGGATTTGGGAAACATGGTTTAGGGTTTAGGGTTTAGGGTCATGAGTTTATGAAGATTCTGGTGCATGGAACTCAGAAATATAGCCCCACGCTTGTGAGTGTTGCATGGGTAGTTGTATGGGAAGTGATGAGCAACTTCAAGTACACGTATGACTACCCAATGGCCTTTCGAGCACGTCTGGGGGGTCGATACCCCAGAAGCATGAAGCGCTAAACCCAAAACCTGAATCCCCAAATCCGCAAAACCCTACCTGCGACCCTCTTGACATACAGTTCTAGGCCTTATACCTAAAAATGAAGGGTAGCTACTACCAAACTGTAGGTAAATAGGGTTCCAGGTAACACCCCAAGCGCGGAGACTCTCGATCCTACAGCTGCCGCCTCCCAAAAACTTGGGATTTAGCCTTAAAGCCAGCAAGTCTAGGGCTTGGGATTTAGGGGTTTGGGGTTTACCCTAAACCCTAAACCCTAAACCCTAAACCCTAAACCCTAAACCCTGAACCCTAAACCCTAAACCCTAAACCCTAAACCCTGAACCCTGAACCCTGAACCCTGAACCCTAAACCCTGAACGACGTCCATCCGAAAGGCACTCTTTCATGCTACAATGGAGCCCACAAGTGGGCCTCACATGGCCCTTCTTGCTCAGAAGAAGTCCGCGGCAACCTCAGGTTTAGGGTTTAGGGTTTAGGGTTTAGGGTTTAGGGTCTTTGAGTTTTTGTCAGGGTTTCTAGGGTTTCTTTTTGGGGTTGCAGAGTTTACGGGTCGTAGGGTTTGCAGGGTCCATGGTAGGGTCTATCGGGTCCCTAAACCCTAACCCCTCAACCCTCAGTTTGCAGGGTTCAGGGTGTAGGGTCCAAGCGGAGAAGCAGCCTGCTTGGGCTGAAATCTGGGCCTGCATGCAAGCCCGTGGCCGACTTTTTGTACTATTTGCTGAAGAGCCACCCGGAAAAATCAGAAGAAATCGGCCTGATAAGGGGAATGGTAGGGATTATATTATACTTGTTGTTATTTTTATATGTACGATGTATCGATATACATATATATATACACACACTTTTTTTGAGTATTATATATATATATATATATATTCTTGTTTATTTATTATTATTATTTTTTTTTTGGGGGGGGGGGGCTCTGAAGCAATACAGTAGGCTCATGGAGCTCCCAACAGCAAATACTGTTGGGCTTTGGGCTTTGCGGGAAAAAAACGGGCCCGATGAATGAGTCCAATGTCCGAGCAGTCGTCGGACATGACCGAGCATGCAGCTATGCAGTGGGTTTAGGGCTTAGGGTTTCTAGGGTTTATGGGGTTTATAGCGTTTGTGGGGTTTATGGGGTTTATAGGCTTTGCAGGGTTTAGGGTTTATAGTGTTTGAAGAAGACGTGCTCAGGAGTTCAGAACTTTTTGGGGTGTAGAGAGCGCATCAGAAGCCGGTTTAGGGGTTAGGGTTTGCGTGGCAGAACAGGGGGGAAGGAATGATGGCATCCCCCTTTTAGGTATCCCCGTTTAGGTATCTTCCGTCAGGGTTAGGACATGGTAATAAGCAAGTTAGGTACCCGAGAAAGGGCTACTGCTTAAGCCCTATCACTAGGGATGTTTTGGATGCAGTTGTGGGGTTGGTTGCTTGCGTCCAGGCACAGCCTCAGTGACTTCAGTTCTACTGATTCGACTACCAGTCGGAGCACCAGACTTTATTAAACCCTACTCAGACAACGTCACCATGAAACCCCTTACGTCTTCATAGTGCTCCAAAACTAAACCCCGGAATCCAAAACCCTCACCCTAAACCCGAAACCCTAAACCCTAAACCCCAAACCCCAAACCCGAAACCCGAAACCCTAAACCCTAAACCCTAAACCCTAAAACCTAAACCCTGAACCCTAAACCCCTAAACCCTAAACCCCAAACCCTAAACCCTATAAACCCTAAACCCCAAACCCTCACATCTGCACATCACGTCGCGCTGCCTTCGGTGCGCGTTGGCGCTGGGCACCTTCCAGCGAGGGTGGGCCCAGGAGCAGCAAAGCCTCTGGGACCTGTTGCCAGGTGCTTCCACGCAGAATTTTGGGGGGGTTTCCGAGAATAGGGGTACCCTGTTTTGGGGGTTCCTAGAATAAGGATTATGGTATTTGGGGGTTACGAGTATATTAGGGCTACCCCTATTCTCGGAAATGCCCATCTGGAACAATGAGTAATTGATTCAAAAGTCGGCTTTCCGAAGCCGAAAGGGCTTGAAAACGACATCGGCCTGCCGCATCTGCATCCATCGGAGGAATGGATTGGCGCGAATCTTGTCCTCTGCCAACCCGAAGGCTTCGGCCCTAAGTTCAAAACCCCAAACCCTGCACGCCCGGAGAACATTCCCGTCTATTGGACCTCACGAAGAGCCCACATCCAGGAGGAAGGCTGCACTACCTTTGGATATAATCAGCCCCAATTGCCGTGTCCCAGGACTGCATCTTTCGCAGAAACCATAACTTCCTTTCGCGGAACCTTAGCGCGCCTACTTGCGGGCACCTCTGAGCCCACTAAGACGCCTAAAAGTTCGTCATGAGCATTGAGGAAGGGTTGAGGGCAAGATTGGAGCCTAGGGCTGCGCTGAGGTTTGAGGGAGGTGAGCCTAGGATTAAGTTTAGGATTGAAGGGAGGGCAGAGTGGACGACCGAGGGGTGTGTCCTTCCCAGGGTACATCCAACTTACGCGGGACGTTCGTGGAGGTTCGCCAGCCATGCGCTAAATTTTGCTTCCAGAAACACGGATCAATGTTGAGTTTCGTCAAACCAAGAACTCCCGCCAACAAAAAGTCCTTGGCACGGTTGTTCGCGGATCTTTCCCGGACGCTCACATGTCGTGGAGATGTAGGTTCCATGTAATCTTGCAATGACAAGGACCTTTAGGTCGACATCCGAATGCAAACGCTTCAGAGAACTGGCCGTGCGACTTCTCGGAAAACAAGTTTCTCTGCTTGGAGAAAGTGGCAGCCCCTGAAACATGCGACAGCCCTGGATCCAAGGTGCTGATAGAAACTAGCTGCTTCTTCGTAGGGCATGAGGGAATGGAGTACCCTATAAAATCCCTTAAAGGGTTGATAAGAATATAGAAGAATATAAATAAATAAATATACATATATATATATGGCCCTAATTCCCTCATTCCCTACTAAGAAATAAGGGGATGATGAAACCTCCAGCTCCTCGACCATCTTCGCTGCGGCTTCTGCCCGCCGCGCTGCCTCACCCGTGCAACTACTTGGAGGTTCAGGGCACTTATTAATCAATAACAACTGCACTCATAACCCACTGATAAGCCCCTCAAGTGCCCTACTATGGTTATGATTTGGATTATAAGTACAGTTATACTTTGTTAATAAGTGGCCTGAACCTTCAAGTGCTGGCCAACAAGCAGCCTTTGGCCTATGCGCACGGGTACTTAGACGTAGGGATACAAGTCTTATAGGGTAACTATGGTGATAACCTTATATATGGGGTGCTTATATTCCTGCTTATAAGTCCGTTTGAGTTGAGGGTGCCCTGGCAGGACGTGTACAGGAGGCCGTCAGAGTTGCACATATATTCCGCAGAAGCAGGATCATACAGGTAGCTCCTTGAACCTCCAGGGAGGTGCCAGGATTTGAGTTTACAGGGTTTAAGGTTTTATGGGGTTTAGGGAACCTCCAAACCCTCAGTCACGAACAGTAAAAACCTGAATCCTGTTCGCATGCTGCTGCTCCCAGCTGCCTCGCAACAAGCAGGGGGCTGGGCAGGGCAGCCGCCAGTGTCCTAGCATTGAGGGTCCCGGGTTTTGTTTAGGGTTTAGGGTTTAGGGTTTAGGGTTTTTGGGGACTTAGATGTTACGGCTGGGGGGCTTTCGGGCTTATACGGATAGATAGAGAAATTCAGGGACTCCCAGGGGCGAGGTGGGCTGAGGCTTCGTGGCTGAGGGCCGAAAAGCTTTGGCGGGCCATGTCGTGGTTCTGTAGGGCTGGGGCCTAAGATGATGTCATGGACGTGAGTGCTCGTGGAAGTCGACGCCCGAAACCCTAGACCGAAAGCTCTGTAAACCCGAAAGCTCGCAGCTCTACCTCTACTGTACATTCCTAAATCTCTTCATCCCTGAACCCCACAACCATCACGCACGAGCCAAGTCATTTCTGATCAATGACTTGCCTGACGAATGCCAAAACATGGCAGTTGCTCTGGAGTTGTTCTGAGGCAAGCCTAGTGATCAAATTATCTGGTGCTCAAACAATGGCGTTTCGCAAACAAACACATCACAACGTCAAAATCAAACTGCTCTCAGCTCCTTCGAATGAAACTACCTAAGGCTGGGGCCGCTTCTTTGGGTTATGATTGGCAATTTCCTCCCAGCGCATCTGTCATTTCCCCCCACGCCGTGTTCACCATAATATCTGCACAGGCTCGACCCCATGTCAAACACATTTGTACTCAGCGCAAATGGAAAGTCAAAATGGCAGTGCTTTGTGAAACTACGCGCGGGTCCGTGCTGCCTTTGAGACAAGGTCACTGGCCACCTTTCAGAGAATCTACCTAGAAAGCATACTTAGAAAACATACTTCGCCTTGTGTCGAATCTCAACAATGTCTACGGTCCAAAGTCCATCGGCTCCTTCGGTCGGGCCGCGTGCAACAAATCCATTCCAATTGGGCAGAAGGAGCGCTTCGCGCTCCAGCTCTCCGAAGACAGACAAATCCTGAATGCTACGCGCAGAGATGGCAGTGATGGCCATCAAGATGCCCTTGGAGCCTGCAAACTTTAAGGCCACCTCCCTTGAGGTGGATGTACTTGTTATACCACTCCAATGGATTTGAACTCCGGTTTCATAATGTTTCATGATGAGCGGCAGCAGGTCGGTTGGAAGGCCTCTGTATAAGGTCTGCTCCGGGAGTGGGGGCAATGCATGCAGGCCACCAAGAAAGAAGTGGGAGTAGCCCGCAACCATCTCCAATAGCTCAGAATTACGCTCCTGCAGAATTTTGTTGTAAACCGCGAAGAAATTCTCTCCCTTTGCGGCACCGAACTGATCCATGTCCAAGGTGTAGCAGACAATTGCAAAAGCATGAGCCGGATCATCGCCGGGAGCTTGCACCCCTGCTCCAAGCTTGCTTTGCGTGACCATCGCCGCCTCGTCACAAACTTTTTGCAACCACCTTTCCGAGCCGGGCTGCAATCGGCAGAAGGCGGGTCGGGCATCCTGTAACAAGTACTCCGAGCATGTCTTCCTTCTCACAAAGTCCCGAACAAAGTCACGTAAAGGTTTGTAGGTGGGCCTCTCGTCTGTGAGACCTGATGCATGCCTTGCAGACAAGATGGCGCCGATGGCGCCTGTTGGCTTCTCGGAAGCGTCGTTTGAAGACAACATGCCATCTGTTGGTCTCTCGAACAGCTCGAACTTCAGAGCACACGTACAGTCTCTCTCCACAAGCATACGAACCTCATTGCCCCGAAATACTCTGGGAAGATCGAACACCCGCCAACATGTTCCTTCTTCGTAAGGCCGTTCTTCAGATGAGTAAATCTCAATCTCCGCCTCATCCACGACTCGCTCCCTGTCCCACTCCTGGCCGGGCACCAAAGTGGCCATTTGAAATTTCACGCGAGGCACTGCGTGGGCACGGACGTGCAGGTGTGCGCCAGCGCCAAACAGAAGTGCGCTCACCTGAACAACACGGCCCAAGGAGACTTGCAGCCAGTGAGGCGCCTGGTAGCTCCATTCCCACTCCCAGCCAGTCCCATCACAATGAATCTGGCCTTCTTTCGGGATGATCTTGGCACGTGGTCCATCAAAATGGTAACCGCTTTCATACCTGCTGCTGGCTCGGAAGCTAGCATCTGGCAAATCGCGGATTACTGCTCGGCACCCCTTCCAGCACAAATCGTCTGAAGCTTGCAAGGCCGAGAGGTAGCATGAGGGCACCGTCGGCTTGTAGAACACTTCAATTTTCAGAGCGCACTCACAGCTCGTCTCCACAGAAATGCGAATGGCGTTGCCTCGAAATTCGTTGGGAAGATCGAAGACACGCCACAAAGCTCCTTCATCCCCTGGCCGTTCTTTCGCCGGGGAGAGCTCCATCTCTGCTTCCTGCGTGGTCCCCATGTTCCAGTTATGCCGCCTCCGATCGTCCACATGTGCTGCTTGGATCCTCACTCGGGCCACACATGAAGCACGGCTGGCAGATCCTGCGCAGAACAAAGCTTTGTGGAACGAGAAATCCGAAACATTGACGTCCCCTATATGTATCTGCAGCCATTCAGGTGACTGGTCTGTCCGTCCCAACTCCCAGCCGTGTCCACGCGCATCCCCATTGAACTCAATCTTGGCACGAGCTGGCCTTTTGTATGTCCAATGTACGTCTCGGAAGCAATGGTCTGGCAAGTGTCGGAGCAGTGGTCTATATCCCTTCGAGGACAGATCCACAAAAGCTTCCTTGGCATGGCTGTAGCACGAGGAGCTAGAGGCCATGGTGCCGTCCGAATGATTTTAAACCAACACGAGCGCTACATCTGCCTTGGGGCCTTTTCCTGCCGAAGGGAACGCGGGCACAAAAAGCCATGCAATCTGCTTCCGCATGTGCGTGGGCTGCCCTTGGTGTTCACAGGCCTCACTGGGAATTGAACTCAAGAGTAAACTTGACTATTTCTACAAAACTCAAGCCTCAAACCGACCCAGGAACCGAGAAAACAACAAACCCCAAAGTTCAAGTCCCGGCCCAGTAAACCCTTGGGACGTGGATGCCTTCGTCGCTCTTTTCTGGTTTAGGGTTTAGGGGTTAGGGGTTAGGGTTTTGGGTTTAGGGTTTAGGGCGGATAAACCCTAAACCACTTCCAGTCCGGGGGGACCTATCGATCGTTGGGTGCACCTGGCATCTGATCTCTTGTGTGTGTGTGTGCTCGGAAAGGATAAAGGAACCGCCGCCCCCCCCCCCCCCCCACAGCCCCCCTTGCCACCCCTGTTATAAGGTAGCCAAAACCCAAAACCCTAAACTAGAAGTCATATCAGGTCCCTACTTCCTTCATTCCCTATTCAGAACTAGGAAGAAGAACCCATCCCAACATGGTGCCATCCTACCCCTAAGCCTTAAAGAGCCTGAACCTTAAAACCCTGAGCCCTAAACCCCATGCCAACCGCTGAATGCCCCCGAAGCGCGAAGCCCCCTGCCTTGTCGATGCCTTCTCTTCTTCGTAACTCCATCCTTGGGGCAGGTGGTGGCTTCGTCACAGCAACATTCGGCACCCTACATGTCTCATGGAAGTTCGAACATTCTTAAAACTCCTCAAGCGACGAGTGTGCCAGAACTTGGGGGAGACTCCGGGTTTGGGCGTAGAGTAGACTTATGAATATTATGCCGTAAACAAAGCAGCAAAGTATTCCTCTCCCCCCTCCCCGGGCAGGGCTTAGGGGTGTACGGTGCAGGGAGTTTGGGTTTGAGACTATGAGACTTCTAAGGCCTCAAGCCCGAGCCCCCAGCCAGAGTTTTTGGTTGAGGGTTGAGGGTTGAGGGTTTGGGTTTAGGGTTTAGGGTTTAGGGTTTAGGGTTTAGGGTTTAGGGTTTAGGGTTTAGGGTTTAGGGTTTAGGGTTTAGGGTTTAGGGTTGAGGGTTTACGATTGAGGGTTTACGGTTTAGGGTTTCTTGAACACCCTGCTAAATCACATAGCAGCCTCTGGCGCTAAGCTCGAGCCCAACACCCCAAGACCACCTAAACCCTAAACCCAAAACCCAAAACCCAAAACCCAAAACCCAAAACCCTAAACCCTAAACCCTAAACCCTAAACCCCCTGAAGTGGTGGAGCCAGGGGGCTCCGCCCCCACAGCCGGGCACGAAGCGCGCGCCAGCTGCGCCTGGAGATGGGGGGGTTTAGGGCGCAGGGTTTCAACCCTTCAACCCTTCAAACCTTAACCCCCTTAAACCCCTTAAACTCTTAAAGCCCAGATGAAAGATTGGACTCGGAGGTTTGTGTTATTTAGGTTTTGGGATTGTGGTACTTCTTGCCCAACAGGCGGAAAGGGAGTTTGGGGATTGGCTTGGGGTAAAGGCTTTAGGGCTTAGAGTTTGGCGTTCAGCTTTTTTCAGGGCTTTGGGGCTTCGGGCTAGTGATTTCGGGCTTCGGGATCTGGATTTCGGGTTTTGCGTTTGGAGGTTTTAGGGCTTAGGGTCTAAATCTTAGGCTTCGGACTTTGGGCTTAGGGTCCAGCAGCCTTGAACCAAGAACCCCAACCGGGTGTGGCCCTAAACCCTAAGCCCTAAAACCCAAACCCTAAACCCTAAACCCTAAACCCTAAACCCCAAACCCTAAACCCTAAACCCTAAATAGTGGCTCGGCCTGCTGTCCGACCAGGGAGCCGGCTCTCACGCTGTACGTCTTTAGGCCAAAAGCGGCACTCGAAAGCCGAAGCTCGGATATGAACGATTCTCCACCCCAAGCCCTCTAACCCTAAACCCTAGACCCCAAGCCCTTAAACCCTTAAACCCTTAAACCCTTAAACCCTTAAACCCTTAAACCCTTAAACCCTTAAACCCTTAAACCCTTAAACCCTTAAACCCTTAAACCCTAAGCCTTAAACCCTAAACCCTTAAAACCCTTAAACCCTTAAACCCTAAACCCTAAACCCCAAACATGTTCGCCCTGGGCGCCCCCGGCGGGACGCAGCTTCGGACAGTCGCCATTCGGCAGCGCCTGACCTGCGCGAGCTTGTTTAGGGTTTGTAGGGCTTGTAGTCCTTGTATCTCCTGCAGGGCTTGCAGAGTTTGCAGGGTTTGCAGGGTCTGTAGGGTTTGTAGGGTTTGTGGGGTTTGCAGGGTTTGCAGCATGTCCAATTTGTGAGGCGCGAGTTTGTTTGTGCTTGTGTTGTTGGGGCTTTTTGGTTATTCAGAGCTTAGCGTTGTTCGGGGTTTACGGTCATGCAGGGTTCAGGTTAAGGCTGTTGGGACCCTCTACCCGGCCTTTAAACCCTAAAGCCTGAAACCAAATGAAACCTGTCGAAGGCCGTTTGCGGGATTGTGAGCACGAATGCACAACTTCAACTCTTTCTGGTTGAGGCCGTGGGCTGGGTCTACGCAATCCTGAACCCGAGCAAAGAAAGGAATTGTCGGCGCCTTCCGGCGCAGCCTCGTCCTGACTGCCGAAGAGGGAGAAGAAGCTGCTGGGCGGCTTTCCTGCTTGAGGGGCGTTGAACGACGGGTGGGCGCAGAGAGGTCCGACACTTGAAGGGCTCCTATCCGGAAGGGAAGATGTTAAACAAAAAAAAAGATTGGGCACGGAGGTTTAGTCTTTGGGGGGGATGCTTGGGGTATCGTTAGAGGGCTTAGATTTTACAGGAGGGGCTTCAAGAGACACAGGCTGTGGGATGAGGGGGTCTCATTAGCCCAATAGGAGACGCAACTGATGGCTCGCGCACCTCGACCTAAGACCCATACGCCCTAAACCCTAAACCCTACACCCTAAACCCGAAACACTAAACCCTAAACCCTAAACCCTAAACCCTAAACCCTAAACCCTAAACCCTAAACCCTGAACCCTGAACCCTGAACCCTGAACCCTGAGCCCTGAACCGGCCTAGACCGCCCAAGCAGCCTCAGCAAAGTACTGCCAGGCTCCGAGCTCTGAGTCGAAACTCTGCTAAACCCCAGACCCTGTCCCTAAACCCTCATAGAGAAAAAAACCAGACCTGGTATTTTGCGTAAGAACCCCGACATTATCTGTATAAGAAAGAATATCTTTCATGGCGGGTGCTTGAGCATCAGATAGTAGATAAGTATAGGCAGTATAGGGTTTAGGGTTTCGGGCTCAGAGGTTCAAGGGTAATTCCTTTTGTTGGGGGGGGGGGGGGGGGGGGGCTTAAACCCTAAACCCTAAACCCTAAACCCTAAACCCTAAACCCTAAACCCTAAACCCTAAACCCTAAACCAGTAGAATTGCAGCAAAGGGTTGGGTCGCCAAAGCCTGGGCCGAAGACCAGACTCAGAGCGTCCATGTGGCGCCTTGGCAGCTTTTTGGGGTTTAGGGTTTAGGGTTTGGGGTTTAGGGTTTGGGGTTTAGGGTGTAGGGTTTGGAGAATTCAGAATTCGGGGTTTCGGGTGTAGCTAGGGGTTGGGTCATGGGGTTTGGGGCGTAGGGTTGGGGTAGAGTGAGGCTTCGCGTGCCTTTCCGCCACTCCCAAAACAGGGATCTGGCGTTCAAGGATCTGGGGTCCAGGTTTGAAAGCGTTTCTTGTTGCCTAAGGGATTGGTGTTGAGATGTTCCAACTGATACTGCCAGTCCGTACTCATAGGAAGGTACTGTAATCCCTATTTAGGACTTTTAAAATATGAAGGGGCAACATCGCAAGATTGGTGATTTGAGTCAACAGGTTTATGGCTTTAGGCTTAAGATGTCAAATCTGAGCTAGATGAGGGAGACGTACTTTTTTGCACACAAACCGAACTCAGGGCTGGGGGCCTATAAGCTTGAGGGTTGAGGAACACTTCAAGACGCCCTGACATTACCCTCAGCTGTAGCTGTAATATGTGTGTATAAATAAATAAATACATAAATAAATAAATAAATATAAATAAATATATATATATATATATATCTGTATATATACATCTAAACCCTGAACCCTAAACCCTAACCCTAATAATGTAGTTAGCGCTTGCATGGGGTAAGCCTCGCACCCCATGGCAGCTCTCGTCCTGATTGCGTGGGGGGGGGGGGGGGGGGGGGGCGATTCTGATGTCATCCTCTTGAGGGTTTAGGGTTTAGGGTGTAGGGCTTAGGATCTACGGTGGCCTTTACGCAAGAAGGCTTCCAGATGCCTTTGAAACTAAACGCGGACTACTTCGAGTGCTGCAGCCAGGCCCTACGGCAAGGATGGCCCGATTCCCCCTTACTTGGGTCAGGGTTTAGGGTTTAGGGTTTAGGGTTTAGGGTTTAGGGCTTAGGGCTTAGGGTTTAGGGTTTAGGTCTCCCTAAGCGCAGACCTGTGCGCCAGGCACTGCCGGCATATGATACGGGCATTGCGAAAATAGACGTGCTCCTAGTGTGCAAACATCCGAAGGAACCTTTCAAAAAGTGGCACCCGTATTCCACAGCAGATTGGTGTTCAGAGGTGCGGCTTGCCATACAGAGAAGGGTTTAGGGGTTAGGGTTTAGGGTTTAGGGTTGGTTCTACCTGCAATCAAATTGATCCTAGAGCCTGGGGGGACCTTCAGACTCTGAGACATTGAGAAGACGCTATTCATTGTCTTCCGCCAGGATGTTCCTGGATCAGAACGATGCAGGACAACACATCTGATCCCCAATAAACACCAAGACCCCGGCACTGTTTGGGAACCTCGCCTCTGCCTAAAGGCTCTTAATGTGGAACCTATGCGGTGTACTATACTAGAACTAACCCCAAGAAGAAACTACATTGGAGCTGTCAGGTAAAATCCCTAAACACATGGTGGTTTGCAACATCGGGGTACCGTATTGGGGTCCTT